CATGTCTCACTTTTACTAACAGATTCTTATTTTATACATTCCTGCTCATCTCTCATTAAAAGCCACACACAAAAAGACATGAAATAACAACATTCTTTAACTACCAAAATATCATAACCATAACAAACTAGAACATGTCATTATTCTTACATAAGCTACTCAGTCATACATACTTATACACAACTACACAAATCACTAACTAATTTACCATCAAACTACCACTAACTTTTCAAAATATAACCAAAATAAACCATGCCACCATATGACATTCATACATTATCATTAACTATTATCATCAACACTTTCATCATCGCAACACCTAAAGCTCTGCATTTAACGGTTCACAACGGCCACATAAAGGCGATGAGCTGGAATAATTATGCTAAAGCGAAGCATATCACCCCTTCTAAGCTTTATATGCTTTGCAAACTGATACCACCTGCGACCAATGAACTTTTCCGTCTTCACAAACATTTGGTTACGCCTCACATAATGCACCTCCGCATGGTAAAGCCTCCATGTGTCTGCATCAATAAGCTCTATTTCCTTCTGGTTCCGTCCTAAGATATTCTTTGTAACTTCCCTTGGAAAGTGATGTAACATTATAAACATAGTGATGACGATTACCATATTGGACGCCTATAACCCAATATTTATAATTATGTTTATACTTGAAACTTACCATAACATTTCTCATCACTTTGTATCCATAGCTTATGTGCCTTTCCCATGAAAATTCATCCTCGGCTTCTTCGTCCTCAGATTCATCTTCTTCCTGAACAACATCTTTGTCGGTTGAATGACCCATTCCTTGAACATTCACTTCATGAACTTGACCGTCTATCTTCTAAGTAATATCACCCTCTGCATTTGGTCCTCCTTCAACGTCCCCCAAACCTACGGACCTGATTATGCATGAAAACACTGATTTATACACATGCCAACTTACATAACTTTCATCAATCCTATTCTCAATATAACAACTGAACATTCCTAAAACATCATACAAATAACTTCATGTTTAACATACTTGGATGTAAAATGTTTAACAACAATCAATGAATGTTAGATTTTCTCATACGAATTACTTTTGATATAGTAGACTTCGCTGCAAATTTTTAACAAACAATAACACAAACTTGCTTTCAAATGCAACTTAATTCATGATTCATGAATATTCAAATTCTTAAAATGGTAAGACAACATCAACTTAGATAAACTGAATTTATTGTCACCATACCATACAACACTTTCTTCACACATTACATATCACAACAACATCAACACAATTTACAGAGACCCCACAAATACACAACTACATATAACTATTTCCAAAATCTACAACTAACAAGAATCACTCAACATCCTAACATTAGTACTCACTTCCTATATTATATATTACTTTATATAAATTATACTCATTGCCTACACACAATTTTTACACAACACAAACATGGTGTTAAACCTACTACGACATAAATGTAAAACATATGTAATCAAAATAACAATTGTAATTCACTGATATGTTTAATACAACCTTACCTTCCACATGATGAGACAACCTTATCAACATCTCCAGCAACAGAGGCCTTGCATGCCCTTAATTCCACAGGGCGTGTCATAAACGTCAGCTTCGGTATGGATCTACAAGTCGGTTGAGCAACCATCATTACATTAAATCTGTGAACATTACAAGGACATTAAAACACAATATATTTAAACTTTCACAACAACATCCAATGGTTTCTACCTTTACTATTTGCTTTACAAACTCTTTCCATGTCGTCTAAATAATAATATGTACCTAACCATGACTTTGGGTCGACATTCCCCTTACTTTCCATGGTCTCCATCATCTGCAGTGGTCAAATCAACAACTTCATCTTTGTTTCCAACTCCCTTACGTTTAGGGAGATTCTGTTTGCTTCCAGAAGCCTCTACTACCAGCAAACAGAGCTTTTCATCGATCATTTCTTCCTCCCTCAGCCACTTCTGATATGATCTGCATGCATACAAACACAAATCAACAAATTATTCTATTCAAATGACTAAATCTTTGACATGCACATGTTTTGAACTTACTCGGCCTGTTTCTTCACAGTTGCAGCAAAATCCATGGCAAACCCTTGTCCCATCCTCTTTTTCTTCGGTTTCTTTTCACAAGTCACTTTTGGGAAGTGCAATACTCAACCAATGTTATACGTTTTCCTTTTTAAAGTGCCCAAGTCATTTTCAGATGTCACTTTTGGGAACTGCTGTACTCAACCATGTTACATGTTTGCTATTTAAAGTGGCCAATGATATTTCTTTTCCATTCTGTTTCCAATGCCTATAACTTACCTATAGATTACATTTTCTTATTCACTTATTTAATACGTTTTGTATTCATTTTATTCTTTTTGCGGTTCTTAAAACATTAACTCCTCATGTTTATGACATATAAAATGCACCACTCTTTACACTTTTATTTTCATTTCTTTTATTTTTTTATATTTTACTTTTACGTTTTGAACTTTATGATATTTTATTCTTTTTAGTTTGTAATATATATCATTAATCATATGCCTTTTTAATCAATTATTTTCTTTCCCCATATCTATCTTTATATGATTTCTACAATTAATATTAATATTTTCAACTTTGTTTTTTCAAATTCACTATTATATTTTTTATTCTTTTATTCTTAATTTTTTTATTTATGTAATTAATTAAAAACCAAAATCGATACCCGTGCAAAATATAAACTAGATGTTTACAGGTTTAAAAACTCTTCCTTAAAATTCGAATATTACATATTTACTCGTAAAAAAAACATATAAAAAATAACGTGTGGATCCTTAAATATTTTATGAGATTGATGATTCATATATGCGAAAAATATTTTAATATTTTCATTTAAGTATTTTAAACTAAATGTTTTTGTAACAAGTCATGCAGGTGTTATGTGATGAAAACTCACTATTGTGTGCATTTTACAAGACCTGATCACGACCATTCTACAACAAATTTAATATAATTTAAGACTATTTAGATATCTATCTAGGAGCATGAGATAACAAAAATATATAGAAAAACCAATGATAGAATTATAGAGATAAATATTACATATTGTCTTTTATAGAGACAAAAATGAAACCTCATCATTCTAAAGTTCAATCTGAAAAATATAACAAAGTGGTTGCAAGAGCTTAAGAAAATCTTTAACTAAATGATAAAAAATACGTTATAGACATATTTTTCAGTTACATGCAAAGAAAAATTAACGTAAATATGTTGATATATAAATCGAATATCAACCTATCTAACATTTAATCTTATGTTGAACATTATTCTCTATTTTTTTATATTTGTTATCTAATTATAATTTTCTTTTTATGAGTTATATATTTGTTGATGTGCAAAAAAATTACTTATTTCAAAAGTACTAAAAAAAATTATTTAATAATTTAATTACTTTAAATCTTTATTCTAATAATTATTAATAAATATATATTGATTGTTGAATATATCTTTAAAATGATATAATCTTTTGGATCTATCTCTAGAGGCAACACAATAAATAAAATTAGAGGTTTCTGAAAATTTCTCCATAAATATTTAAACAATAATTTTTTCCGTACAATAAATCATCAAATGCTAAAATTTAAAATTAATTTATCCTTATTCAAAAAATATATATTTTTATTTACTATTACTATTATTATTATTATTATTTTATTATTATTTGTATTTTTAGAGTAAATACAAATAGACAATTTGCTACTAATATACCAAAGCAAATACGCGTGCACAGATTTTCTCTCCAAGTCAAAAAAGCAAAACTTCATATCGTACAAAAACCAAAAAGACGATTTTCTCCCCCAAATCAAAACATCTAGACCAATAAAATATCGCCACGTACACAAATTCCCGTAGCGTAAAACTACGAATCTATCACCGACTAAGCTACAGAATAACACAGTCGACACGTGCCCTAGTTTGAACCGGCTATAGCCGGTAATCCGAAGTCATAAACAGGTTAAAAACAGTCATACCCATTCTTTTCATTACCACTAGCTACTCTCTCTCTCTCTCTCTCTCTAACATTGCTTCTCTCTCCTTCTCTCTCTTCTCTCACACTGTTTCTTTTTGTTAATTAATTTTTTTTTCGATTTTTCTAATTTCATTCCAGAAAGTGACGTTTCGCTTTTTCTCAGCTCGCGGTTTGGATGTGAGTTAGCTCCAAAACAATTCTGTTTCATGTTTTTCATGTTTTCAATCATTGCTACTTGATCATGGTAAATGTTTGTTCAGTTTTTTTTTTTTGGTTTTTAGTGTTTTTTTTGGTGACGAGTTCAAAGTTTACATTTTTTGTGTTGGTTGGGTATTTGAATTGTTACTTTATGTTATTTGATTTTAGGATTATTATGAGTTTGGATGCGTGTTGAGAATGATAATTGAGTTATTGTTTTACTCTTTTTGGATTTGCTATTTGATTTTGGGTTTTAGGGTTTTGAATGTGTGAATTGAGAGAGTTTATTCTAATATTTGATATTTTAGGGTTAGTTGAATGAAATTGTTTGCTTGTGATTTTACTTTATTTGTAAGGGTGGTTATTTTGTTTGTATGCTTTTAAAAAATGTATGTTTGATTCTAAATTAGGTATGTAAAACATTTTATTTGGGTCAATTGGTTTTAGCTTAACTTTATTTTGTGCTAATCAATGTGTACTTTTTGTGTTTTGTTTGATCTGTATTACTGTATATAGTTGAGATAGATTTGAGATGAAAATTGTAATTTTTGAGAATTTGGTTGCGCATGTGTTTGTAGGTTTGTCGGAAGGTTGTTTTACTGCGGTGAAGATCTTAGAGAAAGGAGTGATAAAATCGGCGTTTAATACTAAATCTGCGCCTGTTATATTGAACTTGTTTATTGTTTTTAGTATATTTTAATTACCAGTTAAGTTAAGCCTGGCTTTCGAGAGCTACCTTGATTCGAGTCACCAAGGGGGCATACCTCCCATGGCACCTTCTCGGGTGGCAGGAGGTTTAGCCCAATCATCGTCGAGTTCTGGAATTTTCTTTCAAGGAGAGGGACAGTCACATAATTTAGTTAACTCTCACTTGAGCTCGTCTTTAGTTAACTCGTCTAACACTGTACCTGGAACCGGTCATTCCAATCTCGGCCCAGTTCCCGGGGATATGAACAATGCAATTTTGAACAGTGTTGCAAACTCAGCACCAAGTGTTGGAGCTAGTTCTTTAGTCACGGATGCGAATTCTGCACTCTCTGGTGACCGCCATATGCAAAGAAGTGCAAGCATTAATGGAGACTCGTATTTAAGATTACCTGCTTCACCATTGTCATTCACATCGAATAATATTAGTATTTCTGGGTCACCTGCAATGGATGGTTCCTCAGTAGTACAGCAGAATTCTCATCAAGATCAGAATGCTCAACAATTGCAGCAGAATCAACAGAAGCTGCAGGGTGCTTCAAGTTCTATGCATTTACCTGCTTCTCAAACTGGATCGTCTTCGCATCAAATGGGTGCCCAAGTTGCAGGATCTTTCATTCAAGATCCAAATAGTATATCCCACTTGCTGAAAAAGCGTAGGCTGGATATCAAACCAGATGATATAATGCAACAACAGGTAATACAGCAGCTTCTTCAGAGACAAGACCCCACACAGTTCCAAGGCCGTAATCCACAGTTACAGGCTATGTTTCAGCAACAGCATAGGCTTAAGCAACAACAAATCTTCCAGTCATTGCCCCAGGCCCAGCGGATGCAATTGATACAACAACAGCAGCAACAGCAACAACAGCAGCAGCAGCAAATGCAGAGGCAGCAAATACAACAGCAAATGATGCAGCCCTCGGCTGGTGTGAAGCGTCCATATGATGGTGGTGTTGGAGGCGTATGTGCCCGTCGATTGATGCAGTATCTCTATCATCAAAGACAGCGACCAAGTGTGAGTTTTTTTATTTGCTGCATGTGAACACCTGTCTACATAATTTCTTTTGTGTATGCAGCAGCAATGTTTTATGTTTTGTCGATGTTCAAATCTGTTTGAGATGCAATATATTATGTGTTTATATTAAGTTTTTGTTTCAAACATAAGCCCTTCTATTTGAGGCATTTGAATTAATTAGTGTATTTTATCTCAATACATTTTTAGTGTTTTGGTACTTTTGAACATCTTGATTAGTTACATAACCAAACTTTACCTGATCTGTTTTCTCAGGATAATAGTATTGCATATTGGAGAAAATTTGTGGCTGAATATTACTCTCCTCGTGCAAAGCAACGCTGGTGCTTGGCATTGTATAGTAATGCTGGACACCATACAGCTGGTGTTTTACCGCAAGCAACTACAGTTAGTTTTTTCACTTCTTACTTACCCTGTATATCCTGTTCCATGAATAAAATGATGCTGTAATATTTTTTAATGGTAAATCTTGCATTACAAGTTTTAATAGATTGGATTAGTTTATCATCATGTAAATTTTAGGGAACATCTAAGAATGAGTTATGCCAATAATTAATGAATTTTGTCAGTTTTTTCCCCTCTAGTGTGTTGGTGGTACCATAGTCCTTGATGTGTTGATAATCTGACCTTGATATTTCTTTCTTCAGCATGCTTGGCACTGTGACATATGTGGAGCTAAATCTGGAAGAAGGGGATTTGGTAAGGAACTGAACATATTATGTTATTCTATCAAATGTGATTATGGATATTTTTTGTTCATACCTGTAACTCTATTTCTTAGATTGTTTCTTTGTTTCTGATAATACTAATCTAATAATATGTGCATACTGGTTTTATTTAACAGAGGCAACTTTTGATATACTACCCAGACTTAATGTTGTAAAATTTGACGGTGGTGTGATCGATGAACTGTTGTTTCTGGACTTGCCACGGGAAATAAGATTTGCGTCTGGTTTGATGATGTTAGAATATACAAAAGCAGTTCAAGAGTGTGTGTACGAGCAACTTCGTGTTGTTCGTGAAGGTCAACTTCGTATCGTATTTACTCAAGACCTAAAGGTTATAGATCTTTATTGTATCTGAATATATTTACTGTTTGAATCTTTTGTTTGTACTGACAAATTCTTGATAATTTGCACAGATATTTTCTTGGGATTTCTGTGTAAGGCGCCATGAAGAACTTCTTCCTCGAAAGTTAGTCGCCCCACAGGTATTTGATTCTGCATGCTATGTTGTGTGTAAGATGGTGCAAGTTAACGGGATATTTCTGTTTAGTAGCTCTCCGTTTGCCACCTCTTTCTGTGTCATGTGCTATAAGATTCATATTCTTGTTGAAACTGTGTGCTACAAGATTCAAAATGAACTAAGAACCATTTTCGATTGTTCCGAACATTTTGTTGGTCCTCTATAACTATTTTGAAATTTTCCTTGAGGTGTGAAAGTGCTATAACACTAACTACATAATTATATCTATTTAATTGGAATGGTAGTGTAGAAGTACTATTTTGGAGTATAGCTCTTACTGTTTTTTAACTTCTTACAGGTCAACCAATTAGTTCAGGTAGCTCAAAAATGCCAAAGTACAATTTCTGAAAGTGGGTCAGACGGGGTTTCTCAGCATGACTTGCAATCAAACAGCAACATGTAAGTTAACCTTTTTTATAGCATATGCAAATGTGTTTGGAGTCATACAGGGTCAACTAATAGGAATAATGAGTTCTAATGTTATCTATATTAGTGCATACTTTGTTTTCTGTAAATGAAATTAATCATTAATTCATTATAATCAATCTAACTAATCATTTTCTTATGAAGTGCTCACAGCCCAAATATGAGTCATTTTATGAGTCTATGAAATAAGGTTTTAAGGTAATGTTTCTTTTACATCAGGGTTCTAACTGCTGGCCGTCAGCTTGCAAAGAGTTTGGAGCTACAATCACTAAATGACTTAGGCTTTTCAAAAAGATTTGTGAGAACATTGCAGGTAAACTGTTAAACTATATTTCACAGTTTCTGTAGTGTTGAAAAACAGTGAAACCTTAATTCTTTATTTACAATATTTAATCAAAACCTTCTTTTCTTAGCCTTATGTAATGTTTTTACAGATTTCTGAGGTTTGCAATAACATGAAAGATCTAATTGATATCAGTTCTGATCAAGATATTGGAGCAATTGGTAATTCTTGTGGTTTTTATTATATTTTATTATTGTACAATCTTGGGTTGAATTCGTGTCAATTTTATCAAATTTGGAATAGCCTTTATTGCTTCCTTGTTTACTAACCCTATATTTTTGCCTGCAGAGAGTTTAAAAAATTATTCTCAATTTTCAAGTGCGTCAAAGCACCAAATGCAAAAGATGCAGGAGTTGGAACAGGCAGCAAATGTTCAAGGTCTCCCATCTGATCGAAATACACTTAATAAGCTGATGGCATTGAATCCTGGATCAAACAATCATATAACCAATAATCACAATATGGGTAATCGGGGTGCTTTGTCTGGGCCATCACAAGCTGCTTTGTCGATGTCCAGTTATCAGAATATTCTCATGAGGCAAAACTCAATGAATTCAAGTCCTAGCTCACTTCATCGAGAAGGCTCACCTTTCAATAACCCGAACCAAAGTCCCTCGACAGCTTCTTTGCAAGGTGCTGCTGCTGCTGCTATAATCCCCGGCTCCATGCAGAATTCACCTCACAACAGTAGTGGTGGTTTCTCAAATCAACATATATCCGCACAACAGCGGCAGCAGCAGCAGCAACAACAACACCTTCAACAACGCTCGTTAAGTGCGAATAACTTACCTCAACAAAATCACTCACAAGGACCTCAAGGAAATCAATCACTGCAACATCAGATGATCCAGCAACTACTGCAAGATATGTCAAATAACACCGGTGGGGGAGTGCAACAACAATCTCATAGTGGACCCAATGGGAATAATATGGCAAAAAATAATTTGGGTTTTGCGGGTCAAACTCCACCCACAACCGGAGGAGGCGGCGGCTCTGCCAGCGGTCCAGCAAATAATGGACCTGTTTCAAGGAGCAATAGCTTCAAAGCAGCGTCAAATAGTGATTCTTCTGCAGCAGCTGGTGGCGGAAGCAACACTGGTTTCAACCAGAGGTCATCTGACATGCCGACGCAGAATCTTGCATTGCAAGACATGGCTTCGGATTTCGCCAATGATTTTGCCGATAACCCCTTCTTTAACAGTGATCTAGATGATAACATGGGTTTTAACTGGAAGACATGACTGAGTGAAGTTGTGAGTGTAATTGGAATTTGTTCAATTGTTTTATCTTATTATAATATTATCTTTGTACAGATGATGATACTCTAAACAGTTTCTGTCTTATTTTTCTTGTTTTCTTTCTTGATGGAATTTGTGATATGACTCTTACTCGAGTAGGCGGGTGTTGTAGGGAGATTTTATTTGAGGGTTGTTTTTTTTCCTGGCCTGCAAGTGTAATCTACTAGTAGTACTTTAACCCGTGAAACACACGGAGAGATAATTGTTGTTTGGTTGTATACCTATTGCATTTTCATATTGAAAAAGTAGCGGTGTGATAGAGTATTAGTGCCAATTCAATTGGTACTACCAATTGAATTGGAGACAATTGGTGCTACCAATTGAATTGGAGACACTATATGGTGTTCTCAATTCAATCGGTGATAGGGTGGTAAAAGCTGAATGATGTTGCCAATTTATTTAAAGACTAGGTACAATGTATACTTTTTATAACATAATTAGAAACATTAGTAATTAATTAAAAATAATATTACATAAATGAATGTTAGTGACATGGTTGGTAGTTTCACATTTTTTAGGCACTCTCACTGTCACCTGTTTCACATCACATAGACACTCATTCGTTACACTCGTTCCTCTTGTTGATTCACTCCAGGTGTTTAAATAGCTGAAGTCTTGAGAACAATCTTACTTAATTCTCTAAGAATTTCTTGCATTTTCAAGAGGTCATGTGTGTTGACACTGAGCGTCCGACCCATGCCAGAATAGTTCGGATGTGATGAAGGGGTCATTAGTGTGCGACCTGGACGATTGAAGGGAGACATTGGTGTGAAGGTTTTGTTGGTGAAAGGTTGAAATGGTATTGGTATTTGAAAGTCATATGGTTGTTGTGATGTTTGTGTGTGTAAGTTAGGGTGTGATTTCTGAGCGTTTTGACTATGGAAAGATGTTTGCGCGTTATGACTATGGTATGATGTACCCTCATTTTGGCTATATCTTGATGTTGTGTTGGGGATATAACCATATCGGGTGTCTTGATAATAGTCATTTTGTTGGAGATGGTATGAGGGACGCTCTTGGTATTGTGTTAGGCGTTTGACATGTTTGGATGGTGGATTTGTGTGTTTGTGGGTTGGTAATTCTGTTGGGTAGGGGGTTGTGAGTAATATGTTCGATAATTTTCCGGTGGGTTAGACGTGGAAGTTTCTTGTGTGTGTGTGGTTTTTCATGGGACGTATAGATACCTATCTTCGGATACAAATTCAGTTGCAACCAATCTGTACCAACTCATATAAGTATTAGTTGGTATAGACAGGGTTGCCATCACCGAGTCACGTAAGACATGGGTGTGGCGGTTTGTCCATTTACGACGCTCAAATTTAGCAAAATTCTTCCAGTCGGGACAATCTCATTGATCATTAATTTTTTTAGATGTCATTTATCGAGGTCAATCGGGGGATTTGAGATGTTTTGATGCATTCTAAACTGTAGTTTGACACGGTCACTGTGGTGCATCTCCACAGTGGTGAATCTGATGATCGGCACATATGCAGTCCAAACTGTTACTTCTTCTTCACTAACTTGATGTTGGTGTTCCATGTTTACATGTCCGAAACCGGCGAGATCAATATAAGGTACAATTAATTCTTCGAAGGCAACATATTCATGGACACGAGAACGAAACCTAGAGACATTGTACGAAAAAATAAACAGGTACAATAACACATTGTCAATTTAGAAAAAAATAAACAGGTATAATAACACATTGTCAATAAAGAAAAAACATAGTGGAGTAAACACTTACATAAGTCTCAATAATAATGACAGTGCCTCTATGCGTTTCATACGTTGTCAATAGAGACATTATAGTTGATTAAATGTTTCTGATACTAGTGACACTCTAGACTTGATTATATATGATACAATGTTTCTGATGATTCATATTGCAATGCCTCTAACTTTCTTTATATAGGAACATAGGTCATGCATGTGACCAAAGTAACAAAGTTCATGCAGCAAGGTGGCGCCACATGAATTGACGACAATGTTCTATGCTTAGGAAGAGTCACCAGTCTATTTGGAGACTCCTAGGCACGTGAGTAGCCTGAGCATCTAGGTTGAGACATGTCCCATGAATTCATAGCAGACTGACAATCACATAGCGACAATGTGTGCTCAGGATGCACCATGTCTCCATTTGAATTGGCGCCTCCTTTCAAAAAATGTACCATGTCACCAATTCATTTAAAGACTTCATTAAATGCTCCCATGCATATTTAATCAGCCTCATGCGTTGTCATCTGAAGCAACCAAATATAGTAACTCTCTAACAAGAATTCTCTGATGTCATCTGCACCGAGATACATTGTTAACGCCCACTACAACGGAAACACATATGTCTCCGATGTATCTGGGTTTGGTTTTCAAAACACTGATATTGTCTGATTCACAATCAATAAAAACACAAGTTTCTTCCATTTCAAAGATAGATTGAAATCAAAAATAGGGTTTGGTCCTATATCACAAATCATATATCAAAACCCGTTTTTTTTAAACCAACCATGTTAAATTTTATCCACTTAAAGTGAGAGATGATGAAGATGTTAAAAATATGTTCTTTAGTCATGAATATTCTGGTTTCAACTATATTGAGTTGTATACGTTACTCCAACAAAATATTTCATCTCAGCAGTCTCAGATCATCGATCAATCAGAAGGTGCAAACTCAGATGAAACCGAAACGGAGTACTCAGATGAAACCCAACCAGAGGTCAACTTCGTTGATGACGAAGAAGAAGGAAGCGATACGCTGATCGATCAACACTATCGAAGATGACAAACAAGTGCCAATACCTCCAGGTTATGTATACTGTTTGCCTCAACATATGACAGACTTGTACTTGCAAGACGATCAGAGATCCTTGGATATGTTTTACAACCTGTATATGTGGTTAGAGATGAATTAAAAGTGGGAGACAAGTTTCGTACCAAGGAAGAATGCATACGAGCCATTAAAAATATCAAATGGATGACTTTGTTGATTTCAATATACATCAAACTGATTCAAGAAGATATGTCATTATTTTTTGTAATCCACTTTGCAAGTTTCGGCTTGCTGTGTCTTATAGGAAAATAAGTGATTCTTGGAAGATAGCTTCCAAAGAGCCACTTCACAGTTGCATTGCCACAAATATTGTTCAGGATCACCGAAAATTAAGCGCATAATTGATATGTCAAGAATTTTTGTCGCTTATTAACAAGGATCCATCAGTGAAGGTGAGTATAATAATCTCTCATATCGTTACGCAATATAATTATACTCCCTCGTACAAGAAAGTGTGGATTGCAAGGACAAAGGCTGTTGAACAGACATTTGGCAACTGGGATGATTCTTACAAAGAATTATCACGATTTTTGGTAGCACTTAAGACATACACATCGGGGACTGTTGCAATCATGCAGACAATGCCGACATGTAGGCCAGATGGAACTATTGTTGATGGAAATGCCATATTTCACCGACGCTTTTGGGTGTTTCAACCATGCATAAAAGGTTTTGCATTCTATAAATCTATTATTCAAATTGATGGAACATGGCTGTACAGAAAATACAAGGGCACATTGCTTATGGCTGTTGTACAAAACGACAACAATAATGTCTTTCCCATAGCCTTTTCTTTGGTTGAAGGTGACACCGTTGCTGCTTGGAGTTTCTTCCTTAAGCATCTCAGGACACATGTGGCTCCATAAGCCAATCTCTATTTGACTTTGGATAGGCATGATGCTATTAAGAGTGCTTACAACAACCATGATAATGGGTGGCATAATCCTCCTTCTACCCATGTATATTTTATTAGACATATCACACAAAACTTCATGCGTGCAATCAAAGACAAGAACCTTCACAAAAAAGTTATGAATGCATGGTATGCTCTAACTTAACCATCATTTCAATACTACCTTAACGAAATTAGGATGTCAAATGGAGATGCAGGAAGATGGTTGGATAATATTCCATTGGACAAGTGGACAAGGGATTTTGATGGTGGATGTCGTTGGGGCACATGACAATAAACCTTGTGGAATCCATGAAAGACGTCTTCAAAGGAATTAGAAACCTTCTAATCATCGCATTGGTGAGGATCAACCTATTATAGGTTGGCATCACTTTTCGTAACAAGAGGCGAAAAATGAAGTGCAATGTTAATGTCGGGTTAATTATTTAGTGAAAGCATAATGAAAATGATGAATGAGGAAACTATCAAAGCCAGCACACATGCGGTTACAGTATTTGACCGTCATAGGAAAACTTTCAGTGGACAAGAAACAATGGACCATAATGAGAGGAGGCCAAATTTATCCTATGTTGTCAAACTAAATAGATGTTGGTGTGAATGTGGCAAGTACCAGACCTTTCATGTACCTCGCTCACATGTCATTGCGGCATGCGCACATGCTCATCAAGATGCTTATATCCATTTATCTAATGTTTACAAGGTCATTAACTTATGAATGTCTACAAAAAAGGCTTCACAGTGCTATCAATGGAGGAATATTGGCCTCCATACCAAGGGGACATAGTTTGGAACAACGATGGGATGCGAAGAAAGAAAAAAGGACGCCCAAATAGCACGCGTATAAGAACAGAAATGGATACGACTAATAAAATGATAAGATTATGCAGTATACGTCGTTAGCCTTGACACAATCGAAAAAATCGTCTCAAAGTCGGAGCAACCTCTGCATCATAATTTAGTTTCTCCTTTCAATTGTTGTAACCTTATATTTTCATATATTAATGAGTTTTTGTTACAACAATGTTAACAACAAACAACACATACAATAGATAACGAAAAAGAAAAAAAATATTTCTAACTAATTACAACAATTAAACTGATGTCATTCGGTCCAAACATCATTTCCCTCACATCCTTGTCAGTCTTAACGCGAATCCACCCATGCAGGCGATCATGTCTCTCGATACTTCGAATTTTTTCCCCTTC